CTTCTTCTTCTTCTTCTTCTTCTTCTTCTTCTTCTTCTTCTTCTTCTTCTTCTCTTCTTTTTCTTCTTCCTCTTCCCCCCCCCCTTCTCCTTTCTTCCTTTTCTTTTTTCCACGAGGGAGGAGAAAGGTTGGAGAGTTCTACTGCATGGTAGGTCCTATACCTCTTTGAATCTTTGCGTCCTCTTGTTCATTTTTGTCTGTTGATCTTGATCTTTAATTGCGGGAAATGGCCGCAGTGTTGATGTACTTCTGACCAGATATCTCAAAAATTTTCTCAGCGAACGTCGAACCGCAAATAAAACCCCCAGAAAAACAACTCCGAACGAATTATATCCCCGCTTCTCACAAAAAACCCCATGAAAACATTAATTCTTCCTTGATTTTTCCTCCACGCATCTAACAACACATACCAGATAAAATCTCTATCCAGATAAAATACGCGATCCTCTTTAAAAAACCCTCGAACAAAAACTCAGTTACAAAACAGACGTCATATATATAACTTCACTGGCGCGGTGAATACCCCGACCATTCTTTCAAGACACTTGGGAGCCAGCGTTAAACGTTCCACTCCTATCATCCCACGGGGATGTTTGTACTTGCAGTTTAATCGGACCGCTATAAATATTATGACGGTGCACCTGCTATCAGACATACAGGCCAAGAAAAAGGAAAACAACATCCCCGGAATGTTTTGACGTGTGCAACTGTACGATACGCCGATTGTGATGACTCCAGCCCCCAAAATTGACTGAGTTGTCGAGAGGAGCAATTATTGTTCTACTGGGAATCGTTTCAAACCAAAGATTTCTCGAGGTAATGGGCACTTAACGTTCAAAGAAGTTGAGAAGAATAAGCACACTTAGGCATTAAAATTAGTATGCTAACTAGTAAATCAGACCTGTAACCCCCCCCCCCCAACAACAACAACAACAACAACAACAACAACAAAACAACAACCCCCCCTTAAACAGCAATGCCATTGAAATGTTCGAACATGAAATCTCCAGAAATCATTCTTACAAATCCTCTTAAAACAGAACGCAAAATTATTTATCAGCGGTGCTTTGCAGAGGGTTACAAATGAAGCTTCTCAGAAGAAATTCCAGTCTATTGTGCTACCTCTACGTCAAATCTGTGACGGTTATAAGTACTGAAGTCCATTTGGTTTGGACACAATTACAACTGAAGACCCGAGAACAACAACAGGGTTAAGTCAAATTTCCCTAAAATAGAGTTATGCATGTTATTCGAAAGCGGCGATAAAGGGCTATCTATCTACTAATAGCACTGGCGAAGCGCTATTCTGTTTCTACGCTCAGTTTTTCTAGTTCAGAGATGCGAAGCTTAAATACAACAACAAGGTCAAGTCTAGAAAAAAAAGTATGTTTAAGCCCTCTTTTCGGAAATTACTTTTAGATTCTACTGTATTTCGCGAATGAGGTTTTTGCTCATTTTCTCGAAATCATCTGAATATGATTTGACTTTGGTGTTCTCAGTTTTCAAGTTAAACATCAAGAGCACAGCTACGGTTACAGTATCTAAAGAGTCCGCTTACCTGTGGCATGGGATTTTTAATAAAGGAGAAACTATCAAAGCACATATCAAGCTTGATAGGATGTTGACTTTAGGGTTGTTTAGAGAAAGAGTCAAAAAGCCTGTAAGACCAAGTTTTGTTTCGCTTTTGCTTCCGATTGCTTAATGATATTTGTGTAAAGTGTTCGAGGGTGACTCTCTCTCTCTCTCTCTCTCTCTCTCTCTCTCTCTCTCTGGTGAAAATGGTGAAATGGTATGGGTTTAACGCCCCTATCAACACTATTAGGTTATTTAAAGGGTGGGACCTCCTAGTTTATCGTCCGAGCCAAGTGGGAAGTTCGCGTAAAGTGCCTTTCCCAAGGACACAACGTCGGACCGAGCTGAGGCTCGAACCCCCGAACCCACAATCTAACGATTGCG